ATTCGACGTTGCCGTTTTCGAGTCCGAAGAGCGCGTCGGCGTCTCCAGGTGACCACATAGACCTCACCAATTGACGAGGATCTCGCGACGTATTTAAACCTTTGAGAGAGATTAATTAAATTAATTAATTGCTTGATCGGCTCGTTGGATTTGAAGATAACTGTAAATTAATTAGCTGTATGTAGTTTTTTCCCCTTTTGTTTTTGTTTTGTAGTTTTTCTTGACATTTTCGAATTTGTTGATAGATTTAGAGATTGGGATTTGGGAATGATCCTTAATTGTAATTCCAAAGTCTTTGGAAAATGTAAATTCATGATAATTTGCACTTTTTTTTTTTCTTAATGCCACTGTTTCCTTTTGATATATATATATATATTTTAAAGTATTTGTTTGGGTATTCATAGGTTGGATTTGATTGAAATGAGAAATATTATAGAATGGCACCATTTTAGTTTATAAATATCACTAAAATAGTTTTATTCGTATAAGTTGGATTTGATCGAATTGAGGAATATTCCAGGATCAAACTAAACTTTTTTTTTTTAATTGGATTACTAAAAATATCTTTTCATTGATTTTTTTAAAATATTAGAAACATTTGTTATCTTTTTTTTTTCTTTTTCACTTTACTATTATTACGTGTTTTTATTTTAAAAATATAAATAATTATAATGTAAAAGATAAATTACATGAAGGATAGTAATAATTTTGTTAATCAATTAATATTAGAGACATTTACCAAAATAATGATGTATTATCAAATATAGTAGAAGGTTTAAAATTTTACAAGGACATTAAAATCCAAATCAAAGTTAAAATAAAATGAAACATAAAATTCATGGAAGCTTATACTAAAAAAAATCTGAAAAGTTAACATGTTAATTAATTATTACACCAACTTCATTAGTATAGTTCCACCGATAATTAAGGCATCAATGTCTGATCAAAAAATCTATGAGTTTGAATCTTTACTCTTACTCTTACCATGTTGTACACAGARAAACATTAATTATTACTAAAAATTAACTACAATCTTTAAATTTACAATATCCAATAATGATTTTACTTTTCTCAGGTTCTTTTTATTATTTATTTTCAATAATGTATTGTAATTAGCTATGGATGATATAAAAAAGTACATTTATTAAGATTTCAGACCGTTTTAGTAAACAACAAATAAAATAATTTTTTATTTTGGTTATAGAAATTTCATCAAATAAATAATATTCTCATTCCAACGGATTTGGTTCCCATTTACTCTTATAATTACATTAAAAAAAACGTTGAGATAATTAGAAAGTGAAAATTTGAACCTATTATAATTATTAATTGTTTGGCATATTGACGTTGAGTGGAGTTGAAAAAGTAACGTTTTGGATTCATAGTATAGCTCCCTCTCCCCAGGAGGTTTGGTTGTCCGATACAAATAAATTGCTGAATTCACAAAATTKTGTGGACAGTGACATCTCATCCAACTTTATTGTTTCCATTACAAGCATATGTTTAATTTCTATATCGTTAAATTAAAATTTACATATACTTTGTTTTTTATTGAAGTAGTTATAAAGTATAGTTCCAAASTGTCGGCATTGAATTTGGACATCTGATATTGGCCGCACCTCAAATTGGTTATTCCCATAGATTTTTTTGTAATAATATTTAAAGGTAAATTTACTTGTCACAACTCATATTTTTTTTAGGAAAAATTTTAGGGAGAGAAATGTAGAAAAAGAAATATTTATTTAATACTAAGAGCAGAGGATTGAATTAAGTTCAAGTTGRCAAAAGAAATATAATTTTTATCTTTAGAAAAACTAGAAAAAAAATATAAGATAATTAGTAGGAAAATATGTACCTAAGAGTTTTTTTTTTGATAATGTTCACCTTTCGTGTTCTTTATTTATCGTTTTTTCTTTAGAAACACAAGTATTTTGTAACTATTTATGTTTATCATTTTTTACTTTTTAAAAAATTATTTCTAACATTGTATATGAATTTTGAAAATAATAAAATAAACTTAAAATTATTACTTTATCATTTTGACTTATAAAAAATTGGAATATTTAATTTTAAAAAAATAATTTTTATAAACGAATTTAGATAACAAAAAATAAATAAATAGTTACCAAATTATTTCTATTTAAGAAAAAAAATTATCAAATGCAATTTTATTTGCATGTACTGGAAAATAAGGAATAAAAACGATAATTAAAGGTGTATAAGTATTTTTCTTTTATTTGCAAAGTTTGATAATGTCACGAGAATTGATGTTGGGAAATAAATGGAGCACGTGAGGGACACGCGCTGGGATTATGGGCCTAGTGAGTAGGCCCAAAGGAGAGCTCGCCGACACAAAACTGACACTCCACGTTCTGCTTCTGCAATCTGCAGTTGCACACTCCACTCTAACTTATAAATTTACGTTTAAGTTTTGGATAATCTTTAATTTAAACACAAAAATGCTTTCCACTATATAAAAAAAATAAAAGAAAAAGAAATTCTAACTAAATGAATTCTCTTAAAAGTAGCTTTGAGTGATTTTTTTTTATCTCGCTCGACTTCCTTGTTACATTTGGTTGTAAAAAAACACATAAGAAATTAAATATTAATTAGGTGGTCAAGCTGAGGACTTTTCGACCTATTCCATCCAAAAGTAGCTTAAGTGATTTAACAATTTTTCGAATCATTTTTTAGCATCCAAATATACACACCCTTCGAGAAACGCTAAGAACACTTTAAGTTATTTTATTTTATTTGTACGGAGCTAAAAAATCATTTCAAAAGTTGTATCGAGTTCGCGCTTAAGGAAGCATGGATTAAGTGTTTTGACTATCTAACATAACATCATGAGCGTTTTTAAATGTGTTTTTAATGGGCTTAAAGCGTAACAAGCAATAAACACATCTATCTTCTCGAAACATGTCATTTTCATCAACAAACTTCCTCCCAACAAGATATTTTAGGTTCACAACTAAATATATATCTACTTATCTCCAAACTTTAAGAGTTGTGGTTTTATATAATGAATTCTTTCAACCATAAACTCTCTCATTTTGGCATTAAGAAACACGTAATAAAATTAGGACCCATGCAAACAGTATAATTAACGCTTCATTTTATGAATAATATAGAAATCTATTCACCAACCAAAACAACCAAATTGTTTATTCTTCCTCTTATTTGCATTATTGACTTGCAACCAACACCTTACCCATACCAATTAGGTTTTTTTGAATGGTTCAATCTTTATGATAGAATCTTTGCCCCCACAATTGGCAAATTACATCATATTTTCTAAAAACCAAGCAACACAAAAAAGTACATTTGTAGTAAAAGGAAGTTTGATCCCTAAAATGATAATTTTGTTAATAGTATATACACACCCAACTCATACAAAGTTTAATTTTGTTTGTGATTTAACAGGATATTGAAGAAGAACATAAATAAAGGCAATACATAGAGTAAAATACACTTTTGGTCCATAAGAATTATGTCTATTTGGTCTCTATAATTTCAAAAGGAACTAGACTAGTACTATATATTGCTCGTTTGACAAAGATCCAATTAAAAAAAAACTATTAAATTAAAATATTATGGGAAATCAACAATATACAGTCTAGCAACTTAGCAGTCATACTTTAATTTTAGTCACCTAATGATCAAAGTATATAACAGACCTTTTAGAATTATTTTAGATCAGAAATATTATTTTTAAAAATTTCATCAACCAAATAGACACAATATTAARAGTCTAAAGTGTGCTTTGCCCAAAATAAAGTTTGGTTAAAAAATTTAATAGTTTTGGTTTTGTAATTTTTGATAGGTGTATTTCGGGTGCTAGATTTTAACATTTTAATTATTTTGTCATATGAATTTTTAAAAATTATCGACTTTTTGGTTGGAGATATATACCAATTATCGCTGAGCTATGTTCGTTTTGATCATCTCAATTAATGTATATTGTCAATGCTAATATATTAATACGTACACTCGAAAGCAAAATGTTAAACGAAAGGACAACATAAAATTTAAATCTATCGTTTGAAAATATCAAAACATATTAGATGATAAAGAAAAAAATTTTTGATTGGTGAATGCGACGCCCCACTAAAATTAGAAACGAACGAGAAGATTTAAAAAAAAAGAAAAGAAAAAAGGAGAATAGTGGGCATTGCCCGAATGACCGTACGAGCTCCTTCCAGCGTGACCCGCATGCAACCATCTCCAACTTCCACGTGCGCTACCCGACATCCTCCCGCCAATCTCACGCGCGTCGTGGGTACGATGTCTGTGACTCACGGTCACTACCGCCACCTACTCTTCCACGCGATTCTCCCGCGCGTCAACTCCAAACCACCGCTCCAAGGCTAGAGTCGTAATTTCACCATGCTTCGGAATAAAGAAGCCGGACACTTGGTTCCGAAGTAACTGCCCCGGGGACCACTCACCACACCCCCCTTTAATTAACGCAACTGTTCTTTCCCACCCGATCCTCCACTTCCATCCGTCCGATCAAGTTGACTCTCAAAATATTCCAATCCAACGGCTCCAAACGTAGCCCCCACCGTATTACAGTACACGACACCGCACCGTGGCGGTTCTATTTATTTAATTTTTGTTTATCAGGGGGGTTTTTCAGGGTTGGGTAAAAATTTCAATTTTTGGGCTCACCAATGACAGAGTGAGGGAGCAGAGTAAAGCAACGGAAGCTAATCCAGGGCAGCAAAGGAAAAATTGATGGAGCTTTCAAGTTCACGTTTTTCCTAGTTTGTAAGCTCCGTTTTCTCCATCCCATTTTTCATTCTCGCGCTTTCTTTCCTTTATTGCTCTCTCTCTCTCTCTCTTTTTTTTTTTTGGTTTTTTCAAATTTTTTTCTTTCTCTACTTCCTTGGCTACTGCGTAGATCTCTATCTCTTTCTCTCTTTCTCCAGCTGCTTCTTACAGCAGTCTGCAAGCTTAGTTTGCAGGGTAAGGTGATCTTGTTCTTCTGGGGTTTTGGTTTTCTCAGGAATGGTGGAATAGGGGTTTTTGAAGTGGGTACATTGAGTGTGGTTGGTGGGTAAGTTTCAGATCTGATGCCGTGGATGTGGAAGTTCGTTTGCTTCCTGGGTTGTGTTTTTTTTTGCTTTGTGTTCTTCTTTTTAATGTAGTGATTACTGAAACTGGAGATTTTGTCGGTAGGGTTTCTTTGATTCTTAGTTTAGTTTATTCTCTTCATGGGTTAAATTAGAATGTTGTATTTTGGGTTTCTGTTTTTGTTGTTCTTCTTCCATTGGTCATGATCCATATGAATTGGGTTTTGTTTGATACGCTCATTTCTGATGTGATTTGTGGAGTTTTGATATTCTGTTCTCTTTTCCCGACAACTCGTTTTGTTCTGTGATGGGTCCTTGAGCATTTGGACCCGCCGAGACTTTGGATTTGGATGGTTTGATCCGTGTGCTGGGAAATGCTTGAAGTCACTTTCGTATTCGTTGCTGGGTCAGGAAAGTAAAATGAGACCACTAAGTAGGAATGTGAGAGGATTGAACAACTAGTTCTACTTTCAATTTGGTATCTCGTGAAAGGAAAACATCTACTGTATAATGTTGTTTTAAGGGATGATCTAGTAGAATATCTACTGTATATCAACTGTAATGCCTACCTGATTATGTTTGATTTGATGTGGTGAAGTTCGAGTGAGTAATTGAAATTTTCTTGTTTGGAATAAATGCTTGAAGTTTTTGATGTTTATGTGGAAAACATGAAGGAATGACTGGAGGGTTGAAAATATTGTAGTGGACAAGTTGGCAACGTACTTCTCATATCCAGATAGATATTCTTCTTGTAGACTTGTAGCATTTTCAAATTTTTGTTGGAGGAAGTTTGAAGGCTATAACTTTAGTCTAGGAAACTTTCCTCTTTGAGAAACAGTCTTAAGATGTCTCTTTCTACAAAGTCGGGCAAGCAGTCAGTAGTCGTTGTAGCCCGTATATATATATTTATAAAATCTCTCCACATATTTACTACTGAGAGTTCTTTATTGTCATTGTTCACAAAGATTTTATGTTTGCAGGGCTTTTAAGCTTTCAGCAATGGGGAAGTCGCCAGCTAAATGGATTAAGACCATCTTGTTCGGGAAGAAGTCTTCCAAATCAAATCTTTCCAAAGGCAGAGAGGTAATAGTGATCTTTATCGTATAAACGTTTCCTTTAATGTAGGTTCTGACCGCCAATTTTCTTTTATGGCTTGAGTTTTAGATCCATCTGTTCTTTTTCTTGTTTCGCCTCCTCTATGTACTTTTGTGCAGTGCACATTTTAGATCTTACTCTATGCTCTGTGAGCTGTATGTGCGCTGAGTCTATATCTTAATTCTGAAGTATAAAAAGGAAATCTAGCATCCACCCATTTAATCACTTCCTCATTTTAAGAACCTAGAAACTTGAACACCTAAATCATTATGTGAATGTGTACATGAAAATATTAAAAGTTAAATCAGTAGCTGTTTGCTACATGCTGAGTCGCTGACTTGAAGTAAACGAGTTGAACTTTCAAGGCTGCAGATTTGAACATTCAACTCTCGATTGTTGATCCTGTCTTTAGAAAATTGAACGGAGCTAACGCTTCAATGTAAGATCTGAAGTGTCAAATGTTGAATACCTCTCTCTTGGATACTGTGTAGAAAAATGGAAACGAGAAAGAAGTGTTGGTTTCTGCCAAGGCATCAGAGCCTAGTTCAGCCATTAGTCATCCTGTGGCTGTGACTTCACATCAAACCCCAAATACCATTGATGCAAATGAAGGGCCGTCAAAAGTTAAAAACGAGGCAGCTAATGTGTTGCATGAAAGATCAACGTCAATTCCAGGAAACCAAGATGCAGAAATTCAAGGATCTATCTGCCCAGATGCACCATCTGATCCCGAGAGAATGCGTAGAGAGGAGGCTGCAACTAAGGCTCAAGCTGCATTTAGGGGCTATTTGGTAAGTAAAGAGGAGGGTGAAACTGAGGTTCAAGCTGCTTTTAGGAGTTATTTGGTAAACTTTTTTTACTGACACAAATTTTGTTTGAAGGCTCGCCGAGCATTCCGGGCCCTCAAAGGTATTATTAGGTTGCAGGCACTCATTCGTGGTCACTTGGTAAGGAGACAGGCTGTTGCTACTCTATGTTGTATGCTTGGAATTGTTAAGTTTCAGGCTATTGCTAGGGGAAGAAAAGTGAGGCTTTCTGATGTAGGGTTTGAAGTGCAAAACAAATGTAGATTAATAAAGCCACAGGTAATTCAGAAAAGTACACTGTTATCGTTATCGACATTCTTTTTGTGTACGGTTTGACGAAATTATTTTGTATGCCCTCTGCAATTTCTTTTACTTTTTCTCCAATACCTTTGTAATGAACTTGATATSTCATATAGGTTGGACATACACCTTTATCCAGCGCATTGTTGTTTAAATTTTCGTATTGTGTTAAAAATCATCTTGATCCCAGATTTGATGCGCTTTACATGTTTCCTAGCTATGTCTATGGACTTCATTGGGAAATTAACTTCCCAAGTGACTGTAGAACAATCTAGTATTTGTATATTTGAAAAGGGAGATGCCCTATGATTCTCTTTTGCATGTCAGAATTGTTATTACATGGAAGAATAGTTATCAAATCTATCTTTCTAATGATTTTCAATTTTTCTTTCACATCAGGAGCAACCTTTAGTGGATCCTGCTGCAGTAAATCTCTCTACACGAATGGCAAAGCTTTCAGCAAATACTTTCATCATCAAGGTAAGTTTACCATCACATCTTTCTCCTGACTGTGGTTCCATTTATGTTCATCAGCTAAATTGGCAATGAGTAGAACTCTTGCCCGATGGGGGGATCTTCCTAGTACCCATCTCCGCATTTTTCTTCTCTTTTCTAAATGACCATTATGATTGCCATTAGAATGTAAGAAATGTATGGCTTGTTATACTTTTACCTTCTCTCTCTTTCTGAAGCCCATGAATATACTTCCTGGAAGCCATATTTTTTTTATATGTTCATTCTTTTCAATATGAATAGTTCAAGAATTTATTCATTTCTTATCCAAGGCATATTAACTAATTATGGCAAAATTTAAAGTATGATTTCACACGGTTTTTTTTCTCCCTTATGTGATTTGTTTTTGTAGCTTGCTTCGTCTACTACTGCAAAACCTCTGCAAATCCATTTTGATAACGGGGAAGATAATTCAGTCCTGAGGTGGTTAGAACGCTGGTCAAATTCAAGATTTTGGAAACCAATTCCTCAAACAAAGAAAGTTCCAGAGTCAAAATCTCAAAGAAAGGTGAGCACCGGTCAATCTGGAGAGGCACATACCGTTAGATCGAAACGCACAAGGAGAGTTCCTACTGTAAACAATGACAGTGCCATGGTCCAAACATCTACGGAAATTGAGAAACCCAAACGCAATTTTAGGAAAGTCTCAAGTCATTCAGCAGCAGAACAGGTTCAGGAGAATCCCCAGATGGAACTCGAAAAGGTCAAGCGCAGTCTGAGAAAGGTCCACAACCCTGTCCTTGAGAATTCTGCCCAAACCGAAGTGGATGCTGCTGAGAAGCCCAAGGAAAGTTTGGACAAGGCTTCTAATGGTCTAGGCCGCGACCTTTTGGCAAGAGGTACTAGTAATTCTTCTGAGAAGATGAAAAAAGAGACGACACTCTTATTAATACCCGTCCAGCCTGATTTGGAAACAACTCCTGAGCCAGTACCGATAAAAGAGGTACTTAATGTATCTAATGGTGATTCAGTTGTAGATCCACAGCCTTTGATTGAGAGCAGTGACAAAGATAAAAGCATAGTTGGTGATGAGGCTGCTATGGAGACCAAGCCTTTGACTGAGAGCTACACTAAAGATGAAATTAACCCATTATCAAATGGGGAACTGAACCACAAGGAAGATTACAGTAGCATTGAGAACCCGAAATCTGGCAGAAAAGCCTCTACTCCAGCGAAGCAAGAGCGAGTCGAGAATGGGTTGCAACACAGTCCAACCATACCTAGCTACATGGCAGCAACCGAATCTGCAAAGGCAAAACTGAGAGCACAAGGATCTCCAAGACTTGGACAGGATAGTGAAAGAAATAACCTCAATCGACGACATTCTTTACCATCATCCACTAATGCGAAAATTAGCTCGCAGTCGCCACGGACACAAAGATTTGTTCAATCAGGTGGGAAAGGAGGAAATAAAAATGACAAGGCACTTCTGGCATCAAAAGATGGAAATGGTAAGCATACTGTTCAATTAAGAGAGAATTTTTCATACCTTCCTTAGAATTATTAGCCTGACAGCTTTGAGCATCATGATTTTAATGACCGAGTGTGTTCCCATAGAGATCAATTAACTTATTCCAATGATACAATATTCATGCTCATCTTAGAAATTCATATGACATGAAAGCATTAGCATTAATATGGCTGTTGAATTTCCTCCAAACTAGAACATAAGGATATTTTTCTCACACTAACCCTTTGCATCATTTTGATCCGATCCAATCATAGCACGGTAGATAAGATATTTATTACATCTCTGTCATTTTGAAAAGAACATTTAGAATCCAAGTTAATTTGTCTGCTGGAACACCATATGTTTTGCAGGTAAGGTAATCCAAGCAGACTGGAGAAGGTAGAAAAAATCGCGTTGCCAGATGTCAACTATTGAGGGGGTGATTTTCTTCATCTAAAGGCTTTTTTTGATTCATACATTTGTGATAAAGCATCACCTATTCAAGTGACTGGGTCCATCTTCTTGAAGAGGGGCTGGCTGCTGAGGCCAATATGGTCTTATCTGATTATCCTTTCATCTGGGTTGTTTTGAGTGCATGTACATCATAGGTTTCAAGTTTTTTCTTTCTTTTTCTTCTTCTTCTTCTTCAGTTTTCTGTGGTGCAATTACACATTATTTAAGGTACTCTGTGTTTCTAATACAGGTTGTTTATACTGTATCTGATTGTGATTATCATGTTCAATGACAGCTTAATTACGTTCGTCTCATGGATATTTCTTATTAGTATATGATTTTGCTAATGTTGTTTACTGCCTTAGTTTAAACTTTATACTTCAGCATCCTTTTCCTAGAGTCAAAATTTTCTGCCTTCCCTCACTGTACTCTTTTTAATCTTCTCTCTGAAAATTGTAGGATTAAACCTTTTTTTTTTCCTGAAAAAGAAAATGAATTGCCTTTTATTTTGGTCTGGAATCTATGCTTTGATCAATTGATGAGTTATGCTAAGATTAACATATTGAAAATAACTATTATATTGTCTAATTGATACAAGGTTTATACTATGTAATATTTAAACATATTAATATTAACAGAATCAAAAGGTAGGTTTTGTCGTATGTCTGTCGTAATTATTGTTTGTTTACTTGTTCTTTGACTTGTCTTATAATAAAGTTATGAGAAATTTCAATGATTGGATTATTGTTATTATATTCAAAACTCAAGAGCATGTTATTTGCTAAAACAATTTTTCATAAAATGGTATACATTTAAAATTGATATTTTGAAAATATAAATGATTTCCCCGACCCCACCCCCTTTTTGTACATGATTTTTTTTCTTCCTTTTTTGAATTTCTTGATAGGGGCGAGGAGCCTCTTCACCCATTGAGAAAAAAAAAAGGAAAATATAATTTTACTTTTTTCTACACTCTCAATATTCTCTCTAGAAATTATAAAAGATTAGTGGGTGAAAGAGAGAAGGAAAAAGAAAAATGGGAAGAAATTACTTTAGTCATATTCATATATGTACAAGTAAGATTTTACTCATGTTCTTGCATCTCCATTAAAGAAAAAGAAAAAGAAACCCAGTTCCATTGCATTAACCCATAAAGAAAAAGTATTTTACTTTACAAATCTTCTGAAAGTCGGTTTCATAACCCTCGCAAAGCCACAAGGTTTGAACTTGTAAAGTCATTCCATATAAAATCCAATGAAGAAAAGACCCGAAACCCAAACCTTTAAATTTATTGTTCTTCTTGTTCTTCCATTTCCAGTGGCATCTGAAACCGACACAAGGGGCAAAGATTGTTCTGCTGCAGCCATTTCACAATGCAATTCCGATGGTAAATATGCGAACAGGGCATCCCAACGGCGCCACATTCAATCTCATCCAAACAGATGGCGCAATCACCGCCACAAATCCCCAATTCGATTTCCGCCCTCTCCATCTCCTCAATCGAAGCCCTACTCGCCCGGCCCGGCCCGTTCGGAACCCGGGGATCCGACCCGGAACCGGATTCCTCCTCCTCCGGCAGTGGCAGGACGAGCTCGACGACGATGGGGATGGTGCGGGAGAGGGCGTTGGTGGGCTGGGCGGCGATTCGGCGAGCCCTAAGGGAAATGTGTTGGATGAAGAAGGGCTGGAGATGGTAGGGCACGCTGGTTTCGGAGAGCATGGTGGAAATTGCGGACCAGGACAAGGAATCTTGGGTGAAAACGTCGCGTCGCCGGCGGAAATTCTTGTATCGGAGACTGCTGATTGTTTCGCCCCCTTGATTTGCGTAGGAGGAGACGTACAGATCGATGAAGAATTCGGGGGGTTCGGAAGAGGAGGAGGAGCAGTCTGATTCGGCCCACTCTTGGGGCTGCCACACCTCGCAGTGGAGGCCGGCGGCCGACATCTTGAATCTGTAATTCCTGAGAAGAAGCTGAAGAAGAAGATGATGTAGAGGAATGGAATCGGGGGATTGGAGTATTAGGGAAGCCAATGGCGTGCCTTTGAAGCTAAGAAATCAACGCAATTCGGATATAATTATATATAATTTTCTTTTTTTGTTTTGTTCAAATTTCACTTTCCATGTCCTTTTCTTTGTTGGATTTGGATTTTGTCTCCCTCTCCCTCTCCCCCTCTCCCCAACTAACTTGATTAAACGAGGTATGTTTTTTTTTTCCCATAAATATTAAAATATTATTTTGATCCCTATTAATTTCGACTCTTATCTTATTTTGGTTCATGTACTTTTAATTTTCATTTGTCTTAGTTTTGGTATTTTTTAAAAATTACTTTTTTGATCTTTATTTACAAAAATTAACACAAATTTTATACACAATGGAAATATTTTAATATAAAGTTATGATGACTACATTTCAATAATTATATTAAGTATAGTATTGTATTAAAATTGTGATTGAAAAAAATGAGAAAAATAAAATCAAGGGACCAAAACAATTTTTTTTACCTTATATGGCTTAACTAATCAAAATATGCTTGCCTTTGATTCTGATTTATATACTTTCATATTTGGATTTATTTGTGTTTAAAATGTTGTATTTTTATGGTAAATTTTATAATTATATTTAATCCAAGGTATATATCTCCCATCAAAAGATATAAACCCAACAAAAGAAAAAAAAAGTATTTAAAAATGAAAGTTGACGCTTTATTTTTTCAATACAATAATAGCTTTAAATTATGTTTGTATTTGTTGCAAATTATTGAAATTTAATTGTTAGGTTTTTTTGAGTGAGAGGTCGTGAGTTCGAATTCTAACCCCATAGGTTCTTATTGCACGTCTTCCTAAACCCTAAGCCCATTTTTTTCCTTTATCCTTTTACCCAAAAACACAACTATCTTTATAAACATCTAAATATTTCAGAAAATTTAACCAAATTAAAACAAGTATAGTTGAAGAAACAAAATCAACCCCAACTTAAACCATAAAAACTAAAAATATTAATTTAACCTACATTTTAAAAGTAAAAAAGAAAAAAAGTAGAAAATACTTTAAATTTATACAAATTAATAAACAACTTTAGATCAGATGTCACAATCTCCTAAAATCATTGTGAATTGTGATTACCTTTTTCTTTTGTATCTGTCCCTATGAGTAAAGGACAGCCAAAAACCAAAAGAAAGCTTCCGTAATATAAATATTTTTTTGAAGGTTTGGTTCTCAATCTCAAATTCTGAATACAATCCCTCAGGGTAAAGCAACTCACTTTATAATGATATTGACGCTACTCATCATATATATTTCCATCCCTTACAGCTAAAGGTAATATTCTCTGCAAAATTATTGTGGCTCCTCTCTACCCAACATCTTCCCACCTCCCAAACAAAAATCAGCTCCATTTCATCTACTGCTCTGCTGTGCTGTGCTGTTAACAAGAACTCCACATCCAACAGCAATTCCTCTTCATATGCAGACCGAAGACCGAAGACCGAACACCGAGGGGCGGGCGAAATTTTCGACTAGAATCTACCAGGCCAAACGAGAGAGTCAAGAATATTTACTTGGGTCATTGTTAAAAGAACATGTCCCTCTCTAGGGTCTTCATTTTCATTTGGATGATGGTAATGGAGAGCCTCCTCCTTTAGATGCAGTGGAATTTACAGGTGAAGGGTACTTGTGTCTTAACGGGGACTTCGGCCCTGGACTGGGGGCTCTTTCTCTTTCTCTTTGATTATCGGCATGCTTAACGAGGGGGAGCTGCTCGAGAGCGGATAAGACTTCGGACATCTGTGGTCGGAATTTAGCCTCCCTAATGCACTGTAATGCAAGAATCGTAGTCATGTAAGCAGCTCTTTGAGGGTATTGACCCTCTAACTTGGTGTCCATTATCCGAAATAACTTGCGCTTATCAGCCAAGTAAGGTTTCGCCCAATCCACAAGATGCTGCTCCACGCCAACTTTAGTTTTATCGACTGCACGGCGTCCTGAGAGGAGCTCCAGCAGCACAACCCCAAAGCTATACACATCACACCTGGCCGTTAGCCTACCTGCAATTGCAAAGGTAGAGATATATCTATCAACTACTACAATATGATTTTAGAAATGTAATTTCTAATGGGAAGTTCTGAAATGTAGATGTTTTGTGTTAAATCATTACTCAACTAAAAAGTTTAAGTTGATTAGTTATGATACATTTAATTATTTATTAATATTAGACATTTTGCCTCATCTCTAAAACACAGACATTTAGAAATCTCTAGCCATGCCAGCTTACAAGTTCAGTAGTTTTAATCTTATTCTAGTAACTGGAAAACTTCTCAAGGATTTGCCAACCAGTTCACATCAAAAGAAAAGGTAATATAGATACCAATTAATAGAATTTACGGAAATTAGATGTTACCAGACAAACTGGCCGATTTGAGATTTGAGAATAAATATTTGGGCAAAGGGAATGGATAGTGGACATCCCATGATCTAGAATGCCCATCACTGACTATTTTAAACTTCAAGTTGCATTTATTGTTATGTAATAGCCCTACACTAATTCCACACATCAGACTGATATAAAAAAATAAACTTGGAATATATCTACGCAAAATTTAACCTTTTCTTCCCTCTAGAGGTCATCTTCAGATTTCAGGGATGCTTCTCCTATGTCGTTCATGGTTGGAAAACATGAAATTCACGTTTGTTCTACTAATTACTGACAGAAAAACGAAGATTCTCAAAATGGAGCAGAAAACAAACCAGTGGCAATATATTCTGGAGCAGCATAGCCTTGAGTACCCATGACTTGAGTGGACACATGAGTCCGATCACCAGTTGGGCCAGCTTTTGCCAAGCCAAAATCTGAAAGTTTTGCGTTGAATTCCTGCGTACAAAATAATTTCATACTTAGTCAGACAGGCGAGTTTTAATTATACAGTGCTTGTGGACCTAAATTCTTGATTCTTTGTATTTAATAATAAAAGGAAGGACAACGGGGGAAAAGTGTTTTATCTCCTCTCTCCTTGCTATTACTTCACTTTTTCCATTAGTACTTTATTTACTTGCATCTATTTTGTTTTCCATAAGATCTAGTTAAAAGAGTTTACAGAAGTCTTTGATGTGAAGGACTTAATTGACATACAGAATCTAGAAGGATGTTTGATGCCTTAAAATCGCGATAGATAACTGGTTCTTCAGAGTTATGCAGAAAGGAAAGCCCTCGAGCAGCACCTATAGCAACTTTAATCCTTATTGCCCAAGAAAGTGGTCGGGCACCCCCTGCAAAATTGTGACAATAGATATGGTTAAGAAAAGAATTCAATGTCATTGCACATCCAAGAACAGAGGTTCAGAACCTAATTAATTACTTAATGGATTTATCATGCCTACTTAATTACAGTAACATTTCCACAAAATGGTTAATGGTTGCAGCAGGCTTTCAGTTACAGTTAGCCAAAACATTAGACTTACTTCTAAATAGATGGTTTTCAAGGCTGCCTTTGGACATGTACTCGTAGACCAAAAGTCGGCTATCCCCATCAAGGCAGAATCCAATTAGTTTCACAAGATTTGAATGATGAAGCTGACCGAGATAATTTACTTCAGACTGCAATCAATAGCAACCCGATTTATAAAGCAAACTATTAAGCCAGAAAGATAAAGGGACGCATCAGAAAGAAAGAGAAAACTACCAGCCATTCCTTGTGCCCTTGAAAACCTTCAGGTTTAAGCTTCTTGACAGCAATAACCATTCCAGCTCCAGGCCTCACAGCTTCAAGTGTATGTTCATCAATCCATCCTTTGTACACATAACCGAAACCTCCCTCTCCAATGAGACTGTCAGGGCGGAAGTTTTTAGTGGCATTCTTAAGCTCACTGAATGTGAAGGCTTTCAGATTGGGGGACAACAATATTTCACCTTCAGATCTATGAGCCTGAAGACTTCTAGATGGAACATTCACCCCAAGTGATGGAGCTTTCAAAGTAGCCGATGAATGGTCTTTCATCTCAGATTTTTTTGGTTCTTCTAGGATGAGAGTGACAATGACTTAATAACAAAGTAAGAGTGAGGAAACAAACTAATCCTATTTAGGCTGACAAGCAGCAATTAAGGCCGAAGTTCAAAGAATGATATTTAAGCTGCAGTTCGTTTACAAGCATATAGTTTCCTTGTGCACATCTTGTACATTTAATTTTATTTTTGTGATCATTACATTGTATTTTGTAACACAAAGCCACCACAACAGAGAAAAAGGAAGCAGTCAAATTAGACCCATTCAGTTTTCAAAATAAAAAATTAGATCCATTCACTCTTGCAGACATCAGGACTCTGCAACCAATCATGCAGTCCAATTCCACTTGGTTTGAATGTTTGCAGTATACTGTATATTACGGTCAATATCACATTAGTTTAATGAAAGATTCATACAGAGGTCAATATATACTCGCTCATCCCTCAAACTCCAGAATATTGACAACATGCCAAAATTTAAACAAATTAAGGTTGACCCTGTGGAAGTTGAGACACGTGAAACAAGTCCATTCCATAGCCTACCGTAATTAACCCTAAGTTTAGCAAATTTTCGTATAGATAAGAAAGGAATATGATTTCCTATATATTTTATACACCAGACAAACAGGGGATACCTCCAACAGCCACCATCTACCTGTCTCTCGGGCAACCCTCCTATATTCATGATGATCTTCAAACCCAATCCCCAATTTATTCCACCCTATTTTAATCATCATACCATTATACCCAGGGCGCTCTAGATCAGGCTCATGATCAATAAGAAATCTCAAGGTGCTTAAAGCGTATTTGTTCCATGTTCCCTTAGATTACATTCATAAAATGAAATATTATATCACCAACGCATTTTTCTACTGATATTA